TACATATTTTATGCACAAAAAAACTTCATAACTCTAAGGTAAATAGAGAAATGCAAGAATCAGAGAAAAACCAGTTTCATATTTCATGCACAAAAAACTGCATAACTCTAAGGTAAATAGAGAAATGCAAGAATCAGAGAAAAACCAGTTTCATATTTCATGCACAAAAAAACTTCATAACTCTAAGGGAAATAGAGAAATGCAAGAATCAGAGAAAATTCAATTACATATTTTATGCACAAAAAAACTGCATAACTCTAAGGTAAATAGAGAAATGCAAGAATCAGAGAAAAACCAGTTTCATATTTCATGCACAAAAAAACTTCATAACTCTAAGATAAATAGAGAAATGCAAGAATTAGAGAAAATTCAATTACATATTTTATGCACAAAAAAACTTCATAACTCTAAGGTAAATAGAGAAATGCAAGAATCAGAGAAAAACCAGTTTCATATTTCATGCACAAAAAAACTTCATAATTCTAAGGTAAATAGAGAAATGCAAGAATCAGAGAAAAACCAGTTTCATATTTCATGCACAAAAAAACTTCATAACTCTAAGGTAAATAGAGAAATGCAAGAATCAGAGAAAAACCAGTTTCATATTGCATGCAAAAAAAAAACTTCATAACTCTAAGATAAATAGAGAAATGCAAGAATCAGAGAAAATTCAATTACATATTTTATGCACAAAAAAACTTCATAACTCTAAGGTAAATAGAGAAATGCAAGAATCAGAGAAAAACCAGTTTCATATTTCATGCACAAAAAAACTTCATAATTCTAAGGTAAATAGAGAAATGCAAGAATCAGAGAAAATTCAATTACATATTTTATGCACAAAAAAACTTCATAACTCTAAGGTAAATAGAGAAATGCAAGAATCAGAGAAAATTCAATTACATATTTTATGCACAAAAAAACTTCATAACTCTAAGGTAAATAGAGAAATGCAAGAATCAGAGAAAACCCAGTTTCATATTTCATGCACAAAAAAACTTCATAACTCTAAGGTAAATAGAGAAATGCAAGAATCAGAGAAAATTCAATTACCTATTTTATGCACAAAAAAACTTCATAACTCTAAGGTAAATAGAGAAATGCAAGAATCAGAGAAAAACCAGTTTCATATTTCATGCACAAAAAACTGCATAACTCTAAGGTAAATAGAGAAATGCAAGAATCAGAGAAAAACCAGTTTCATATTTCATGCACAAAAAAACTTCATAACTCTAAGGTAAATAGAGAAATGCAAGAATCAGAGAAAAACCAGTTTCATATTTCATGCAAAAAAAAAACTTCATAACTCTAAGATAAATAGAGAAATGCAAGAATCAGAGAAAATTCAATTACATATTTTATGCACAAAAAAACTTCATAACTCTAAGGTAAATAGAGAAATGCAAGAATCAGAGAAAAACCAGTTTCATATTTCATGCACAAAAAAACTTCATAACTCTAAGGTAAATAGAGAAATGCAAGAATCAGAGAAAATTCAATTACATATTTTATGCACAAAAAAACTTCATAATTCTAAGGTAAATAGAGAAATGCAAGAATCAGAGAAAATTCAATTACATATTTTATGCACAAAAAAACTTCATAACTCTAAGGTAAATAGAGAAATGCAAGAATCAGAGAAAATTCAATTACATATTTGATGCCCAAAAAAACTTCATAACTCTAAGGTAAATAGAGAAATGCAAGAATCAGAGAAAAACCAGTTTCATATTTCATGCACAAAAAAACTTCATAACTCTAAGGTAAATAGAGAAATGCAAGAATCAGAGAAAATTCAATTACATATTTTATGCACAAAAAAACTTCATAACTCTAAGGTAAATAGAGAAATGCAAGAATCAGAGAAAATTCAATTACATATTTTATGCACAAAAAAACTTCATAACTCTAAGGTAAATAGAGAAATGCAAGAATCAGAGAAAATTCAATTACATATTTTATGCACAAAAAAACTTCATAACTCTAAGGTAAATAGAGAAATGCAAGAATCAGAGAAAAACCAGTTTCATATTTCATGCACAAAAAACTGCATAACTCTAAGGTAAATAGAGAAATGCAAGAATCAGAGAAAAACCAGTTTCATATTTCATGCACAAAAAACTGCATAACTCTAAGGTAAATAGAGAAATGCAAGAATCAGAGAAAAACCAGTTTCATATTTCATGCACAAAAAAACTTCATAACTCTAAGGTAAATAGAGAAATGCAAGAATCAGAGAAAAACCAGTTTCATATTTCATGCAAAAAAAAAACTTCATAACTCTAAGATAAATAGAGAAATGCAAGAATCAGAGAAAATTCAATTACATATTTTATGCACAAAAAAACTTCATAACTCTAAGGTAAATAGAGAAATGCAAGAATCAGAGAAAAACCAGTTTCATATTTCATGCACAAAAAAACTTCATAATTCTAAGGTAAATAGAGAAATGCAAGAATCAGAGAAAATTCAATTACATATTTTATGCACAAAAAAACTTCATAACTCTAAGGTAAATAGAGAAATGCAAGAATCAGAGAAAATTCAATTACATATTTTATGCCCAAAAAAACATCATAACTCTAAGGTAAATAGAGAAATGCAAGAATCAGAGAAAAACCAGTTTCATATTTCATGCACAAAAAAACTTCATAATTCTAAGGTAAATAGAGAAATGCAAGAATCAGAGAAAAACCAGTTTCATATTTCATGCACAAAAAAACTTCATAATTCTAAGGTAAATAGAGAAATGCAAGAATCAGAGAAAAACCAGTTTCATATTTCATGCACAAAAAAACTTCATAACTCTAAGGTAAATAGAGAAATGCAAGAATCAGAGAAAAACCAGTTTCATATTTCATGCAAAAAAAACTTCATAACTCTAAGATAAATAGAGAAATGCAAGAATCAGAGAAAATTCAATTACATATTTTATGCACAAAAAAACTTCATAACTCTAAGGTAAATAGAGAAATGCAAGAATCAGAGAAAAACCAGTTTCATATTTCATGCACAAAAAAACTTCATAACTCTAAGGTAAATAGAGAAATGCAAGAATCAGAGAAAATTCAATTACATATTTTATGCACAAAAAAACTGCATAACTCTAAGGTAAATAGAGAAATGCAAGAATCAGAGAAAAACCAGTTTCATATTTCATGCACAAAAAAACTTCATAACTCTAAGGTAAATAGAGAAATGCAAGAATCAGAGAAAAACCAGTTTCATATTTCATGCAAAAAAAAAAAACTTCATAACTCTAAGATAAATAGAGAAATGCAAGAATCAGAGAAAATTCAATTACATATTTTATGCACAAAAAAACTTCATAACTCTAAGGTAAATAGAGAAATGCAAGAATCAGAGAAAAACCAGTTTCATATTTCATGCACAAAAAAACTTCATAACTCTAAGGTAAATAGAGAAATGCAAGAATCAGAGAAAATTCAATTACATATTTTATGCACAAAAAAACTTCATAACTCTAAGGTAAATAGAGAAATGCAAGAATCAGAGAAAAACCAGTTTCATATTTCATGCACAAAAAAACTTCATAACTCTAAGGTAAATAGAGAAATGCAAGAATCAGAGAAAATTCAAATACATATTTCATGCACAAAAAAACTTCATAACTCTAAGGTAAATAGAGAAATGCAAGAATCAGAGAAAATTCAATTACATATTTTATGCACAAAAAAACTTCATAAGTCTAAGGTAAATAGAGAAATGCAAGAATCAGAGAAAAACCAGTTTCATATTTTATGCACAAAAAAACTTCATAACTCTAAGGTAAATAGAGAAATGCAAGAATCAGAGAAAAACCAGTTTCATATTTCATGCACAAAAAACTGCATAACTCTAAGGTAAATAGAGAAATGCAAGAATCAGAGAAAAACCAGTTTCATATTTCATGCACAAAAAAACTTCATAACTCTAAGGTAAATAGAGAAATGCAAGAATCAGAGAAAAACCAGTTTCATATTTCATGCAAAAAAAAAACTTCATAACTCTAAGATAAATAGAGAAATGCAAGAATCAGAGAAAATTCAATTACATATTTTATGCACAAAAAAACTTCATAACTCTAAGGTAAATAGAGAAATGCAAGAATCAGAGAAAAACCAGTTTCACATCTCATGCACAAAAAAACTTCATAACTCTAAGGTAAATAGAGAAATGCAAGAATCAGAGAAAATTCAATTACATATTTTATGCACAAAAAAACTTCATAACTCTAAGGTAAATAGAGAAATGCAAGAATCAGAGAAAATTCAATTACATATTTTATGCCCAAAAAAACATCATAACTCTAAGGTAAATAGAGAAATGCAAGAATCAGAGAAAATTCAATTACATATTTTATGCCCAAAAAAACATCATAACTCTAAGGTAAATAGAGAAATGCAAGAATCAGAGAAAAACCAGTTTCATATTTCATGCACAAAAAAACTTCATAATTCTAAGGTAAATAGAGAAATGCAAGAATCAGAGAAAAACCAGTTTCATATTTCATGCACAAAAAAACTTCATAACTCTAAGGTAAATAGAGAAATGCAAGAATCAGAGAAAATTCAATTACATATTTTATGCACAAAAAAAACTGCATAACTCTAAGATAAATAGAGAAATGCAAGAATCAGAGAAAATTCAATTACATATTTTATGCACAAAAAAACTTCATAACTCTAAGGTAAATAGAGAAATGCAAGAATCAGAGAAAATTCAATTACATATTTTATGCACAAAAAAACTTCATAACTCTAAGGTCAATAGAGAAATGCAAGAATCAGAGAAAATTCCATTACATATTTTGTGCACAAAAAAACTTCATAATTCTAAGGTAAATAGAGAAATGCAAGAATCAGAGAAAATTCAATTACATATTTTATGCACAAAAAAAACTTCATAACTCTAAGGTAAATAGAGAAATGCAAGAATCAGAGAAAATTCAATTACATATTTTATGCACAAAAAAACTTCATAACTCTAAGGTAAATAGAGAAATGCAAGAATCAGAGAAAAACCAGTTTCATATTTCATGCACAAAAAACTTCATAACTCTAAGGTAAATAGAGAAATGCAAGAATCAGAGAAAATTCAATTACATATTTTATGCACAAAAAAAACTTCATAACTCTAAGGTAAATAGAGAAATGCAAGAATCAGAGAAAATCCAGTTACATTTTTTAAGGATGTTCACAATGATAATACTGGAAGGTATCTAAACAATTTTCGGTGCCTTCTCCACATTTGCAGTATTTTCTTAAACCAGCAGATTTTGTCCGTTTCTGTATGGATTCAAAATTTGCTGCTGTGTTATCAGGAACTCTGAAAATGGAAACAATTCAATTATTTTTTTATAAAAAAAAAGAAAAAAAAATAAAGAAAAAAGAAAAACAAAAGTAAACACACGCACACACTCACACACTCTCACACACACAGACACACAGACAGACACACACACACACACTCATATATATGAGGGGTCGCTACGCCTATTGACACTTAAGTCACTTCCACGAACTTTGCTCACTTTTGTAGTTATAAATTCGATAAACTGTCTCATATAGTAATTGAAAAGTAGTTGTGAGTCAAATAAAATTTGATTAAAAAATATTTTAAACAAAGAGGGAATGATACAGTACTTAGAGATAAGATATAAAAAATGCATATAATATGTCTTTGTATTTTGATTATAAACACTTATAATTTGATGAAAACATATTACTAATTTAATTAACACAATATCTGTCTTTATTTTTTAAATGTTTAAAAATAATTATAATAAATATATAATAAATATATAAAAGATTTAATTTAATGTCAGTTTTTTAAATATTCTAAATGACTCTTAATAAATATTTTCCTTTACAGATAATTGGTGTATAAAAGTAATTTGAGATGCATTTTCGAAAAAAAAAATAGATCACAAAGAAATAATAAATATGATATAAAATACTATATCAATTATTGAATAGTTTGGACAGTGTAAACTGTAGTTTTTCATAATGGCAAGTAAAACTCATTTAGTGGAAAAATCATAATTCATTATATAATATTTTTCCACCTGAGGCAAAAATGGATTTACAAAAATAGGTAGAAAAAAAGAAGAAGAAATGTAGTTGATTTTGAAATATATACCTTAGAGCTTCTATATCTTTTGTTGCCGTAGCTTGATTCTTTAAGCTGCAGAACCCTGTTAATAAATTCAAATATTGTTTATTGATTTTCATTGATTGGAAATTAGGTTCTAGAAACTAAATATATCAATGTGCGCTTAAGGAGTTAATATCTTTGTTGGAATTATTCATCCCTAGTTCAAACCACCGGACAGATGAGGCTAAATAGCTGGGGACAGCAAACCATCTAAGAGAAAAACTCAAAAACTGAACAAATGCCCTCTGGCGTGCTCTTCGTTGGACAAAGCTTATAGAAGTAAATCCAGATAGAAAAGCAGGCTGGAATTGGAGTGAAGGGCCTATATGACGCTCAAAAAGTTGACAATCAGTTAAGTCAGTTGCGGAATCCCCGCAAAAATATTTTTGGCCAACCTATGTATATATAAATTAAGAATTACAGAGAAGCAATAGCTGTTTAACTTGCTTAAGCAAAACTATATAAAAACAGCTTAATTGGCTTTTAGACTATTTAATGAAGCGCAATAAGTCATGGAAATAGTGTGAACGTTTACCTATCTTTCACACTACAGCTCATGTAGATATTTTCTCTACGGAGCAGTGTGTGTTAGTTACATTAGAACAATCACTGCTGTTGTAGATCTGTTTGTCTTTTACAAAACCACTATTAAGCTAAAAGAACAAAATAATTTTGGAATAAATAAATGTATTGTTTTTTTTTTTTCGGGCTTTGAGCCCCACAAAAGTGTAGAATTTACAGTGAGGTAGTTAATAACGGTTCACTTATCTATCTGCTACTTGTGAGGCTAAGGCGGGAGTGGCGTAGTGTTGTGAAAGGAACTTAAAGGACGGTTTCGACAAAACTGCTGTAAGATAACTTCAATAGTGCCGACTTTTCCCCCGAAATTTATTTTTAAATAAAACAAAATGTGACAACACAATGTATATCAATTTAAAGTAACATTTATGTTAAAAGTTATAAAGGTAAAAACAAATAAAGACGCACTGTACATCATGTACTCGTCTGTTGTAAAACACAGGCGGCCGATTGAGCTATGGATTTTGACTTTTCTTTTCAAAGAATTTTTTCTGACGCGGCGTGTTTTTATTAAAGTAAAAAAATAATTAAGTACAGTTTACAACGATTTTTGGGCTCCCTAATAGGTCTGGCAGTATAGTAGTTTCACCCCACCGTGTAATACTTTATTTTGTTAGGGGAAAGCCATTCCAATGTTACAATTTAAAAAGAAGATATAGGCATCATTTTATACTTTGTAAATAATATGAATTAAGACTTTCGTTTTAGTGGTTTCAATCTATGAAAGTTGAATAATCTTGTTTTTGTAAAGATTTAACATTTCCACATTTGTTTCTCATGATTCATTTTTATACATTTGACTATACAATTAAAAGTTCAACATTACCTTCAATGTTGTTCAAATTTGCTGTTAATGACAAAATGTATACTGTCAGAGAAAATTTTGTTTTTTCTAGCCACACATAGACGACATCCCCGTTGGAGAGATGCACCTTTTGAAACAAACAATTCACGTGAGTAATGATATATATAATTTTATGCAAATTTTATACTTAATTTTGGTGATTTCGCCTTCAAATTAAATATAGAAATACCTCATAACTGCGTTCTGTTCTTACGGTTTTTATGTTTATTGGTACCAAAGTGTCATTCATAAGTCTTTTTTCTTTTAACAGGCCGTCGTTTACTCTTGAAATATATGGAAAAATGCATAATTTTTAAAAATCATAATGCAATAAACAGGATAAAATATATGATTTTCTGTAATTATATAATAATGAACTATTATTTAAATAACTAAAAATAAAGCGTTGGCCGCTATAATGTTATGTATTAAAACGTTTACTAGAATTTAAGAAGCGACCCACGCTTTAATACTTTAATTACAAATGATAACTGCAGTGAGGTTAATTCAGCTATTATTAAAGATAGTGTTAGTTACCTCACAAGTTAAAGACAGTTACAAATACTATGGACGTTTCGACCCAAGGTCTTCATCAGCACACAACAGTGTGGTTACAGATTAGACAGAAAAAGACAAACAGTTTTAATACTTTAATACTTTACATTTTTACTTTCTCGTATACGAAGTATAGAGGAAGTATTGTAATCGTGCGAAAAATCTATATCGAAATTTTCACGTTTTACTCTCCCTTGAGTCGGAAAATAGTTTTGCAATTTAGTTTGTATGTCTCTGTGTATCATTGTATGTGTAAGTATCGGTACAGCTAGATTGATGAAATTTCATATATGAGTAATATATCAAATGTGTAGTTCTGTTTCAACTTTTCATCAATTTCCGATAACCGGAAGTGGAACTTATTCTACTTTTGGCTTTTCACAAGCCTATAACTTTAGTACTGTTTCACATAGATAACCTTTTTCTATGACGTAGTCCGAAATAGGGTGTTTTGTCCCGTTGAGTTTTGTTTAGTCGTGTTTTGTGTATATTGTTTTGTTTAGTGTCTGTAGTTTTTTATCTATTAATTTTTTTCTATTTCGATTGGTTCCAGTTAATAAATTTACTAAAATGTTAAAAGTTTTTTGTTTTTATTTTATTTAGGCTAAGGTTAGGTTATTAACTAGTCTGGGTTTAGCCGGACTTGCACTGACCGGACAGTAGTTAGTTAAGCCTAGAAGGGTAGATTTTAGTTATCCCCTCCTAGCAGGGCTTACATATATCCCGAGTTACCATCCGCGTAGTGTTATATAAGAACTAGCTGCATACCTGTGCTCAGCCATGGTAATTCTTTTTTAAATGTACCAACTTGGGAACAGAACAAAACTAAACACAATCACAACGAAACAAACCCAACGCAAACACTAAAGAAAAAACAAACACAAGCGCAAACACAATGCAAACACAAACACTAACGCTAACATAACATAAACAAAGCTTAAATGCAAACATGAAGAGGTTCTATGAAGTAACTAGAACCCTATCAGGCAAAGATATTAATCCCAACCAACCAGTGAAGGTTAAAGTAGGATATATCTTAACAAGTGACACAGAACTGTTAAACAGATGGAAACAGTACATTGAGGAGATTTTAACCCATCCTCTCTCATAAACCATCACTGATATACCACCTGCAAATCACTTACTAAATGGGGGTACAGATCACCCCCCTGCAACGTTAAAAATAATAAGAGCAATAGAGCATGAAAAATGGCAAAGCAGCTGGCCCGGACTGGATCCCACCAGATGCACTCAAAGCAGACCCAGCCATTTCAGCAAACAAATGACATTCTTTACTAAAGCAGATTTGGGAAGATAAGATAAACCTAACTGGCTGGAAACTGGGCTACCTGATACAACTGCAAAAGAAAGAAGACCTGATACCAGTGGCGTAGCCAGGATCGTCTCAAGGGGAGGGGGTTCCAATTTTTACCCGGGGACAAACTTTCGATTTGCACCCCCACTCAGACTTTTGATTTGCACCCCCCCTCAGACTTTTGATTTGCACCCCCCCCCCCACTCAAACTTTCGATTTGCACCCCCCTCATACTTTATATATATATATATATATATATATATATATATATATATATATATATATATATATATATATATATATATATATACCGAGGGGTCTATGGGGGGTTATAACCCCCCCTAACCCCCACCCCCCTGCCTACGCCACTGCCTGACACAATGCAACAACTGGAGAGGGATTATGCTTCATTCACTCCCAAGTAAGATGCTGACAAGAATCATCCTAAAGAGACTTAGAGATGCCTTGGACAAAAAGCTGAGACAAGAACAAGCTGGTTTACGTCGAGACAGGTCATGTACCGACCACATTGATACGCTGCGCATTATTATTAAGCTTGCGTCTCGTAAACATTAGTAAAAGTATTCAATAGATAATAAAGTGACCCACGCTTTTCTTTATAGTTATTTAAATAGTAGTGTATTACTATATATTTAAATAAACTCATTTATTTTATACCTTTTAGTGCATTAGTATATAAAAGCTTGTTATTAATACCTTTTTATGATTTATTTTTACTATATTCATGTGTTGCATTTGAGCTATATATTTTATATCATTAATTAAATCTCACAACTGTTTGAAACCAATTTTGAATGAATTAAAAGTATATTTTTTTTTTTTTTTTTAAAATTGGTTTATTTTTGTGTATAGTCATCTTGTATTAAAAAGGCAGCAAGGCATGTGGATTTAGTAAATAAACACACCTGCATAGCAGAAATCCGAAAAAAACGCAAATAAATAAAGACAAATTTATTACTATTATCCCCTACTCCCCCCCCCCCACCCTGCGTACGCTACTGAATAAACTATAACTGTGCTCAGGTGTCGGCAACTTGCAGCTTTTTTGATCAGTTTCTTCCAGGCATCTCTTCGGGAGGGAGCAAACACCCCCCCCCCCCCCGTTTGAAATTGAATGTATATAGAAAATATATACTTTAACAGTGTCCACACCCCACTTACGGAAATTTTAGTTCGCCACCCCGAACATTTCAAGAGAAGAGAAAAAAGTCTGGAATATACAATGTTTTCGATGTCAAGGTGCGGCTCTCATGTTCCATGCGCACATTTTAATGATTATATTATTTCAATTTCTAAACTCATGAAAAAATATTACTGTAAAGAGAAACAACTTAACAGGATAAAAACACTCATTAAAGAACAGTGAAAATAGACGCAGTAGAGATTATACGGACAGCTGACACTGCATGGGCACCATGCAACCTCCCCCCCCCCCCCCTGAAGAAAGTCTACCGCCTCTCCCCCCCCCCCCCCGAACGAGATGGAATTTATATAGTAAACATATAAACATACACTTTTACTAATGTCCGCCCTCCCGAAAAATGTTGCCCCTCCCCCCCCCCCGGAGAAAAAAAGTCTGGAAGGAACACTGTATGGACAGAAGTGAACGATGCAGTAATCAAAACGATACCGAAGCCAGTTATTCATAGTATGCCGTGTTGACGTATGTCTGGCTAATGAGAGACACCCACTGAGATGGTGATGTCCGTAAAGAAATTAAAAATATGTTATTAGCTTCTAAAGTTGATTGGGATAGTTCTATAGTTATATTGTTTATTATTGTTTATAGCAGAGCTAAATAAATACTTTAATATTTTTTTGTGCGGAAAATTTGTAGGTTTTTGAAATAATATACATTATTTCATATTTAAAACTATTTATTTGTAATACATAAATCAATTTTATTTACCTATACAAATACCATAATTTTGAAATAATAAACCGGGAGTGATCTCCCCTAAACTTTCTCGAATATTCTTAAATAACACTACGGGGGACGGCAACTCGGGACAGAGACATAATTGTTAATCCATTTTTACATACTAAACTTTAAAAAAAATTGAATTTCGTAGAAAAAAAGAATTGCGCACCATGTTAACGCCAAACAAAATGTGTATCATAAAACGGAATACTATTAGTACTTTATAAATTTACTTGCGTTTTCTTGAGAAATCGGAAATAGCGTAAATTACTACTTCCGATTAACAGAAACTACTCAAAACTTGATAAAAGGCAGAGAATTAGATCTTTTACTTACATGTGGAATTTCATTTATCTATCTGAAATAATACTCAAGTTATAGGCTTTTGAAAAATTGAAAGTAGAAAAAGTTCCACTTTCGGTTATCGGAAATCGCTGAAAAGCTAATACAGATCTACAAATTTGATATAATACTTATATATGAAATTTCATCAACCTAGCTGTAACGGTACTTAAGTTATCGTGTTTACACACACACACACATACACACAGACACATATATACGGACAAGATTGCAAAACTATGTTTTTTTCCAATCTCGATTTTTTTGCACGATTACAATACTTTCTCTATAGGTACTTTGTATACGAGAAAATAAAATTGTAGTGGCTCTTTAAGAACTGGGACATTTAGTAAATTGGAACCTTTGGCTATTCCGTCTCTAAAGGTTGCCGACCCCTGAACTAGCTAAACCACACTATTAATTATTATGGGACCTCTTGTCCAACTAGACCTACCCTAAGCCAAACAAGCAGTTCTGTAGTTGCGGCTATACATTTATATGCGCTAAGATTCGATAGAGTATGCTTGACACAATACTCGTCAAAAAAACACCCGTTGTGATCTCCTCTAAACTTTCTCGAATATTCTTATATAAAAAAACGGGGGGTGGCAATATAGACATGATTTTTAATCCATTTTTAATTACTTGCAATTTTTAAAATAGAATGGAATCTCGTAGAAAAACAGAATTGCGCACCAAATAAAAGGAAAAGATATGTATGGAATATTATTAGTACTTGATCAACTCATTTATGTTTTTTGAGAAATCGGAAATAGCATAAATTACTACTTCTGGTGAACGGAAATTTCGCAAAGTTTTACAGATGGTAGAGAATTAGATATTTTACTAACATGTGAAATTTCATTAATCTATCTGAAATAGTACTCAAGTTATAGGCTTTTGAAAATTTAAATGAGGATAAGTTTTTTTTTCGGAAATGGCTGAAAAGTTGATACAAAAGTACATATTATATTATAATATACTTACATATGAAATGTCATCAACCTACCTGTTACAGTACTCAAGTTATCGTGTTTACAGACTTACACACAGACATACACACACTCGGGCATACTGGACAAAATTGCAAAACTATGGTTTTCTGACTTAACGAAGTGTAAAACGTCGAGATTTGTGAAAAATCTATTTTTTAAACGATTACCATACCTCTTCTATAATTCGTATTCGAGAAAGTAAAAATTAAACAGTCTAATACGTTTCGCACAAATATTGACATTCTAAGCACTGGTTTGTTAGAACCGTTTGATTTGTGCGGTTTACTTCACTTACTCGTACACGACCACATTATTTCTCGACCTGATTGACACTGCCTGGTTGCAACCAATTTCCTTATCATCGATATATTCAATACATTGGCGTTGTCTGGTATGTACCTGTAACAGAATGAAAAAATCTTTTCAAAGTTAACTATTGAACGAGATATAAAATTTAAGTGTATTTCTCTGTCTGTCGTTATGGGTGGAAACTTACGAACGAGATTTTACTTACTTCTATCAAAAATATTTTTTTTTACCTGACACTACGTCTAGAGACTCAAGAACAATTCACAATTTTTTTTTTGTATTTGCGTTAAGACAACATTTATTGCATATTAGACGAAATTTGTAATAATCAGTGGCGGAACTAGAAAAAAGTCTACCCGCATAAAATATTTCTGAGCGACTTTTATATATATGTATATGTATATGTATTGGTATATGTATATGTATATGTATATGTATATGTATATGTATATGTATATGTATATGTATATGTATATGTATATGTATATGTATATGTATATGTATATGTATATGTATATGTATATGTATATGAATATGTATATGTATATGTATATGTATATGTATATGTATATGTATATGTATATGTATATGTATATGTATATGTATATGTATATGTATATGTATATGTATATGTATATGTATATGTATATGTATATGTATATGTATATGTATATGTATATGTATATGTATATGTATATGTATATGTATATGTATATGTATATGTATATGTATATGTATATGTATATATATGTATATATATATATATATATATATATATATATATATATATATATATATATATATATATATATATATATATATATATATATATATATATATATATATATATATATAAATATTAACAGCGGAAATGAGCTCACACAATACTTTAAAAAATTGTGTTCTTTAACATTGCTCTAAAAACCCGTATTACTTAAAACTTATACACAGTGTACAAATGAAGAATGAAGAAACAATCCATTATTTACACAAAGACATTACTTATTGTTTAGTAGATGAGGAAAATTAGCTGGATAAAAAGGGTCGGCGTGGTCGAGTCGGTAAAGCTCATGGTTGCTAAACCGAAAAGTCTCGAGTTCGAACCATCGGGCAGATGAGGCTCGTTAGCTGGGGACAGCCACTCTTCTAAGAGAGACAACTCCAAAATCAAACAACTGCTGCCTTGTAGTTTGTTCTTGGTTGGACAAAGGCTATGGAAGCAAATCCAAATAGAAAAGCAGGCTGAAATCGGAGTCAATAACCTCAATGGCGCATAACCAGTTGACACGTAATCCTTAATTGCGATGGAAGCATGGTCGAGTCGGCAAAGCTCATGGTTGATAAATTCGAAAAAAGTCTCGAGTTCAAACCCTCTGGCAGATAAGGCTCGATCCCTCCCAACACTAAAAATTAAGAACGAATAAGAAGAAGAAGCTGGATAAAAACAACGCTTGGTGCAGGTGTGTCTATAAAAGAGCTTTCAAAAAAAACTTTTCATTGATTGAAGCGCAGTGTTCTTCCAACGCTCATAGGGTTTGGTTGAAACTTTCTTGATTTGAATTCAAATCAACATTAAAAGAAGTTTGTCTTCTGATTTGAAAATCTTCGCTCATACAAGTTTTGTATTTTAACACGTTTTTCTTAACTCAGCTTCGCGTTTGTTTGTTTGTTTGTTGTTAAAATTGACATCGAAAATTAGCCCACTTCTGATTGCTCTAGAGACCTGAAATTTGGCATGCATGCTACTTTCGCCTAACAATTTCAGATGCAATCATAAAAACTAGCAATTAGTGACCGTAATTAGCTTAATTTAATTACGCCCCAAGGACCATAAAATTGAGGACATGATTTCTAAAGATACCGACAAGACTTGAGGCCTATTGACACAGTTACTTCGGCCCCAATCCATGTGAGCGCGCTGGCCGTGATCGTATAGTGGTTAGTACTTCGCGTTGTGGCCGCGACAACCCAGGTTCGAATCCTGGTCGCTCAAGATTTTTTTAGTCTGTGTATTTATAAACACTTTTTTAAAAACCACGATTTTCATGTGTAGCAACGGACTAAAAAGGAGAAAATAAAATACTTAAAAAAAAACTTTTTAAAAAACCACGTTTTTCTTGTGGACTCATCATGTTTGCCTGTCGTCCCTACTGGGACATAGGCCGCTGACAAGAGCTTTCCAGGTGTCTCTGTCCTGGTCTAGTCTCTCAACAGTCCCCAGGTGTATCCAATCTTCTTGGTGTCTTCTTCCAGGTCACGTCTCCAGGTCTTTCTGCTATGGTGCAAATTAAACAGCCTTTATATGGTGCAAACTGAATATCCTTTGAATGGGCTAACTGAACGGCCTTTATATAGGGCAAACTGAACAGCCTTTATATAGGGCAAACTGAACAGCCTTTATATGGGGCAATTAAACAGCCTTTACATCGGCAAACTGAACATCTTTTATATGGGAAAACTAAACGGTCTTTATATAGACAAACTGAACAGCGTGTATAGTCGGCACAATGACCAGCTTCTATTCGGGGGAAAAAAAGTTGAATCTTTCTAGAACTGGGCCGTGTAGTATACGATCTTAGTATACACTGTAATGCTGGGATTAGCTAGTCTATCCCTCGAGGATGTTGGCAAGGCTAAGAAAGCTCTTTCTGGGATATGGGCCAGGTTGTTAGGTAGCTCTTTCTGGGATATGGGACCTGTTAAGGTAGTCTTTCAGACATTTTCGCAGGATGGGGAGGGGTCACTGAAAATTTCCGTGTGTATGTGTGTGTGTGTGGGGGGGGGGGGGGTTGGATTTAAGTATATATTTTCTACTTAAATTATATATTTTCTAATTTCGTCCCGTTGGGGGGGGGGGGTGTATTTATAAACACTTTTTTAAAAACCACGTTTTTCATGTGTAGCAACGGACTAAAAAGGAGAAAATAAAATACTTAAAAAAAAACTTTTTAAAAAACCACGTTTTTCTTGTGGACTAAAAAGTAGAAAATAACTATTTACATACATTTGATGACAAAAAACGTGGGTCGGGCAGATGGGTCGGGAAATTTGATGGTGAACGTACCCACGTTTTTTGTCATCAAATGTATGTAAATAGTTATTTTCTACTTTTTAGTCCACAAGAAAAACGTGGTTTTTTAAAAAGTTTTTTTTTAAGTATTTTATTTTCCTCACAGGTTTGAACAAGATGTCATAAGCAGACAAAATAAATGTCTTAACTCTTTGGATTTTGTAGCACTCACTTCTTCGAGCTCAGTGTCCCGATGATTGTCATGGTCTAAGAGCCCTTGTCTCTAACATGCCTCTCTAAACGTCTTGCACATTTGTCCATTCACATTTTTGAGATCGAGAAAAGATGTAGGTCCACGTTGCACATGCAGAAGTAAACGCAAGAAAAAGCATTCATAATGTAATGGGTGTACGGTGTACACGCGACCGAGAGCCGCACAAGACCGGTTTTCTGGGTGACCTTCAACAGCTTTACCCTGCTTGCGTCTAATAAATTGTTTTTGAATTGTTCCATATGTGATACTGAGGAACGTCGCATTACAAAATAGTTCTAGCAAACGGGTCATTTAAAAAAACAACATTGTATTAAAAAATCAGTCTGTATGCAACCTCCCTTTCTTTTGGTATAATTCGTTTATTATGTAGGTTTCTAAATGTATCTTTAATGTCTATTATATTGTGTTCCCTGGCCCAACTAATTCTCGTGTATAAGGGTATCGCTTGTTGTTTGATTAGGATGTCGTATATTTTTTGTGTGTCTTTACCAATAATGCTTTTGTTTCCTTTTAATGTTGCTAGCGTTTCTTTATAAAAGCTGCCTATGTCATTTCCCCCCTTAGTGTGGTGTTGTGATGTTTAATTTTAAAATGCTCTTTATGTTTAAACCTATGTAGTATTGTGCTAATGGATGATAATGTGGTTCTATCTTTAATCTATCCAGATGTTTTAATCGGAAGGTGTTTATTTTAGTATGAATGTCCTGTAGCCCTGTACCTCCATTTAATTTGTTTTGTAGTTTTGTGGCCAATGTTTATATGAAAATGAACTCTATAATGAGCTTGTTTTTTTTTTTATAAATGAATATCTGTTTACTCTGGCAAAAATGGTTGTATTGCAGTATTGGCATTTTTCCAGATTGTAATTTATTTCATTTTTTAGTGTGGCCCAGGTTTCTTGGTCGTTTTTTTGTGGGATCGCTGGTATAGGTTATTCCATAAATTCTGAGTTTGTCTGTTATTGTTATGTCTATGTGATAATTATCTTTTAGCAGCGGCTATTTATAGATCGACTTTATGGCAAATTTGGAGTAAATTCTGATTTGTTTTTCACAAAATACACGGACATCGCGTTAAAATAAATATTTCAAGCAAAGCTAAATCATAGACTGGGGACTCTAACTTAACTGGAAAAAAATGTACACTAAAACAATAAATAAAATATTAATTTAGACAGTCTTAAGCCAAACATCACTTAATCAGCCCTCAAGTAAATTAATATTAGAACAGTCTTCTGTTTCCCAGGTTTTAAAAGTGCACAATCTGAATGGTAGAAAGAAATACAAACCTCAACCCCCCCCCCCCCACACACACAAACACTCCCCCCCCCCCTCAATTTTGTGTCATGGAAAGTTTTGGAATAATAGATCATTATGAGTATTACAGATATTACAGAGACCGTTTTCCCACGGTCGTTTTTATTTCTGTCAATGTGAACTTTTGACTCCGCAGCTAGGGACGGAGCACAGTAAACTAAGCAGTCAAGAGAAACCGAGTTTGCACACCTTATTTTAGTCTAGTTTTTATGCCAAACGAATAAATAAATAAATAAATAAATAAATAAATAAATAAATAAATAAATAAATAAATAAATAAATAAATAAATAAATAAATAAATAAATAAATAAATAAATAAATAAATAAATAAATAAATAAATAAATAAATAAATAAATAAATAAATAAATAAATAAATAAATAAATAAATAAATAAATAAATAAATAAATAAATAAATAAAAAAAATAAAAAATAAATAAATAAATAAATAAATAAATAAATAAATTATATATATATATATATATATATATATATATATATATATATATATATATATATATATTTATATATATATATATATATATATATATATATATATATATATATATATACATATATATATATATATACATATAAAGCTATCTGGAAATTGAATAAAAAAATCATACCTCAGTGTCCGTAAAATGATGTTTATACATCAGGTAGTTTCCAGGAGCCATGGAAGTGATACTAATTAATAATTATATATATATATATATATATATATATATATATATATATATATATATATATATATATATATATATATATTAGCTGCATACCCGTGCGCCGCCACTTTAAATTCTTTTTTAAAGATGCCAACTTGGGAGCAGAACAATACTAAGCACAACACAAACACAACACAAACACAACACAAACGCAACACAAATACAACACAAACTTAACACAGACACAACACAAACGCCAAAAACTCAACACAAAGACAACACAAACGCCACAAACACAACACAAACACAACACAAACAAACACAATGCAAACAGAAACGAAAACACAAACGCAACACACAAACACAAAAGACAACACTCATACATGTGCATTCACATTTTGCTAATTATATTATTGCAACACTATTTCCTTTTAGGAGGTCCGTAGATGTTGAAATCACATTTTTTAAAAAATTAGCGTGAGTTGAATTTATTTTTTAAATTACCTCCCTTGGAAAATTACAAAACAGTTAAATGAATTTTTTCAACCCTGATATTATAAAAATGTTTCCTTTTTTCTAGGAATCTAAACGAAAATAATATTTAACATTGATCCTTTAATTCTTTTTAGCAATGTGAATGTATTTAATATTTTCTTTACGTTATGCGTAAAAGTAAAAACAGTGGTAACTATATAATAAATTTTAGTCGTTATATAAAGATTATATATGTTTGGATGTATATAATGTGTCTTACCTGATGAAACTAAATGTTCGGATGTGGGGATCTGTGTAAGACCAACACGATTCTGGAGGTATCTGTTCTTGGTGAAACCGCATTGTTACTGGATGACATGTCTTAAGACTTTCTAGTTTTGTCTGAAAGAAGACAGAAACATCAAACGTGATTACCAAAGCTGATATTGTAATAATTTTAATAAATGTTCATTGTTTTTTCAACATGTTTTCAATTTATAATGTTTTTCATAAAAAATTATTATTAGAATGTATCAAAAAAGTTGTTACATATAGCACACCATCGACATATTTTACAGTAACACACGCTTTTCTTTCTAAGTGGTATAATTGATTCATTATTATTTTTAATAAAATGATCCTCTTATTTTTAGATCTATCATAAACGTTTTTAGTTTAATACGTTTCAAGCTCGAAAAAACCGTAGGGCAGTTGAAATATTTGACGTTTCTTGGACGCACGGCGAACGACAAAAGTACCACGAAAAAAATGTGTTGTAAAAACAAGTTGCAATTTATACTTGAGTAAATTTCTTAGAATCAAAACTATTTTCTTATTAACTATTTCTGTATTAAATTTTTAAAATAATTGAAAAAATAAATTGGGAGTGATCTCCCGTAAACTTCCTCGAATTTTTTTTTATAACACTACGGAGGATGGCAACTCCGGAAATAGATACGATTTTTAATCAATTTTTAACTACTTAAACTTTTAAAATAGAATAGAATATCGTAGAAAAAAGCATCACGCACCAAGTGAACGGCAAACAACATGTATATAAAATTGCAGAACAGTGGCGTAGGTGGGGGGGGGGGGGGTTAGGGGGGTTAGTACCCCCCATAGACCCCTCGGTATATATATATATATATATATATATATATATATATATATATATATATATATATATATATATATATATATATATATATATATATATATATATATATATATATATATAAAGTTTGAGGGGGTGCAAATCGAAAGTTGAGTGGGGGGGGGGGGTGCAAATATAATGCTGGAAAAAAAATTTGAACCCCCCCCCCCCCCCATGTGACGATCCTGGCTACGCTACTGTTGCGGAATATTATTAGGGCTTTAAGAATTCATTTGCGTTTTTGAGAAATCGGAAAAAGCGTAAATTACTAATTCCGGTAAACAGATATTACTCAAAGTTTAATAGACAACAAAAAATTAGATCTGTTTGAAAAACTAGCAAGTTCCACTTCCGTTTATAGAAAATCGCTAAAAGGTTGATACAAAACTACAAGTTTGATATAATACTCATATATAAAATTTCATCTACCTAGCTGTAACGGTTCTGAAGTTATCGTGTTGACAAACACACACATATACATACACATACATACACACACAGACATGCGGACACAATTGCAAAACTATGTTTTTCCGACTCATGGACGCGTAAACCGTTGAGATTTGTGAAATTCTCGATTTCGATTTTTTTTGCACGATTACAATACTTCCTCTATGCTTCGTATTCGAGAAAGTAAAAATTAAGTATTTGAAAATTGAGTTTTTAAAATCATATATACCAACTGCCTTGAGTTGCTATCCACATTATTGTTAGCTAAGAATATTATTATTACAAGCTTTTATTTAGTTCGCAATGTCTGTTTGTTGCGGGTTTGTGGCAAATCTTGTAACTCAATTTGATCCCCTTTTAAAATTGCGATTTCGTTCAAGCTTTCCAAATACACTTTGAATTAGATCTTTTACTTATATGTGAAATTCCTTCTATCTAACTGAAACAGTACTTAATTTAAACGCTTTTGAAAAACCGAAATTACAAGAAGTTTTAATTGCGGTTACCGGAAATTGCTGAAAAGCTGAAATAGAACAACAAAATTGACATGTTATTTATATATAAAATGTTATGTATCTAACTGTATCGGTACTTAAGCTATCCTGTTTACAGACAAACGGACATTTACACAGGCAGAAATGCAAAGTCCAGTTTTTCCTATTCGATGACGGGTAAAACGCATAGATTTTTTATGAATCTGGATTTAGAGATTTTGTCCGATTAAAATAAGTCCAAATACTACTATAAGATGAAGGACGGTGAAAACTTCAAAATTTCCCCTGACTTTTGTACAATATTCAATACTTACTCTCTATACTCTAAATACGAGAAAGTAGAAAAAGCAAAGAATACCCGAATAACCGGATTTTTTCAAAGAATTATTTAGGCCTTTAATCAGTATGGGCAATTGCTATGTTTTTTTTTTTACCAAACTATACTATAAACTCAAATGGGCACTTTTATCTCCTTGGATAATGTAATTCTAGCTTTATTTATTTTATAAACTGAATGTACTGCCTATTTAAAAAAAGCATAACTAAAAAGTGTTTAAACGCATTTTCTTCTTAGAAAAGCCGCACATGCATGATATCATTAACATTACGGCAAATCAAACCCTTGAAGAAGCCCCATCAACCATTCAATTTTTACGATGGGCAACAAATAAAACGCCCGCATCAAGGTACAGTCCTTATGCTATCGACATTAGCTCAACCCCGGCAACTAACGTGTCCCAAAACCAAGAATTGAAATATTGACCCATTATTCTGATTAATTAGTGGTTAAACATCTTTAGGCATCTGAAAACGTTAGTTTTTAATCTAGTGTACTCAAAAAGGAACAACATAAAGCTTTATGCCGCCTTAAAAACCCAATCCCATGTTACGCAAGGCGTCCATAGAGAAAGAATAAGGCTTTGAGCCAGAACAGGCAAGGGCTTAGATAACTGCCAAAATACCTAATCTGTAGACCTCACAAGTCTAGACAATATATTTGTGCCTCTGTTTTTAGACTTTCATAACAAATGCATGTGATGTGGTCAGTAGGTACATAAAAGAGAAAAGTAGTTTTAATCTAGAGACTTCAAACATTTTTGAAGGACCGAATTTGAACTTGTAGGCCGTGGTGTCGATGCCAAAGTTTAGCGTCGTCCGCAAAGATAAGCTATCGTTATATCATCTCTATGCCCATATTGTGACATATATTTACAAATTTGTCTAATATAGGACAGAATACATAGCTACTCAACAGAGATAAGCGCAATCACTTGTCCACGACTTAAGAAACCACTGTACTGCAAAACCCACCTAAATGGAAAATGTCTTAGATGTGTGTTTTAATACAAATGTGTACCTCGTCGCGAGTTAGGACCTGTAGGTAGTCTGTTACTACTCTATATCTAAAAACAATAAAAAGATAACGTGAATTTTATTTGTTCAATTTCTTGGTTAACTGTATTTGTTGCATCTTGTTCAATTTTGTTAATATTGATTAACCTAAAGGGTTCAAATGTAACAAAGAAAATTGTGACTAAGTTTCCGGGTGCGGGTATGCGGACACTAGTTAAAGTAGGCCCTATATATCTATTTATATTTATAGAAATGAAAGTATGTTTATCTGTTTGTCCTATATGAATTACTACATCTTTTTCATCGGATCGCCATAAAACTTTGTGAACAGAGTTTTTTCCAGGAATCTATTCGGAGGGGGGGGGGGGGGGGGGAGGGGGGAGCAGAGCCCCCCCCCCCCCCCCACCCCCCGAAGAAAGTCTATCGACCCCCCCCCCCCACCCCCGAACGAAACGGAATTTATATAGAAAAAAATACTTTTAACAGTGTCCGTACGCCCCCCCCCCGGAAAGATTTCGCCAGGGCGGCACCCTAGCAGGAAGCAGAAGCGTAGCAACCTATTCCGGCAGCCGGGGCGAACTATCAATTATGTGCCAACCCTATTCAAACGCTGGCAAAAAGGCGCCCATCCCTACATACACTCCCCTATATAAAATAATTGAGGATATCAGCCATGTATAAATCTGTTTTCTTAAATTTTACTGAAGAATGGGGATTTTTAAAAAAATTGTCTACCCCTTTTGGCGCCCCATTCGATCTGGGGTCTCTGACAGGAAGCAATGCAATTTTTCTCCATAAAAATAAAAGCCAGATGCAATTTTACACTGTTCGTACGAGAGTCATAAAATTTTGGGTAGTTGGTGAAAATGGTTTCGAGAAAGAAAAAAATTCTTAAGTGTGGCACCCTGGGAGGGTTCGATTTTTCTAATTATACGATTATGAGCTCAGAATCCAGAGGGGAATCCAGAGGGGCTATCTCATCAATTGCGGTCATAGGTAATACTAGATTCAGCAGAGGCGCAGCAAGGGGGGGCGGGGGGTACATATGTCCCCGGGCGCCAACCCTAGGGGCGCCAAAATGGTTGGAAAAATTTAAAAGCTCATTTTAGCTATAGTTTTGCATTATAAATATTTAAAAAATACGGGGAGGGGGCGCCAAATTGAAAGTTTGTCTCCGGCGGGAGGGAGGGGGGCGCCAAATTGAAAATTTGTCCCTAGGCGCCAGGAATGGTGCTACGCCTCTGAGATTTAGTGATAAAACTACACCAGGTTCATCCGCCAGCTCCCCGGCGGTTGAGTGGCCCAGAGCGACACTACGGTTTAGATGGGCTACTATAAATGTTCACTAAGTAGAATAATGAGCGCCCGCCGGCGCCCTGGCAGTTGGCGACAGCGAGCGCCCCGGGCTCTACAGAGAGTGCCTCCTTAAAGAGCACCCTACAATAGGGACACGATGGCACACGACATTTTATAATTAAACCGAATTAGGGGCGCCCCTGCGGAAATATAACCAGTGGCTCCCTGGAGCGCCAAGGGACGCGTCTCTAACACATGGGCGGTCGCAAATGTGTGTTCTACCTCACTATTACAGAGGTTGATTAACGTACACTCAAGGCTTTCATACAGTGAGCCTTGGTGCATCTAGGCGGCAGTGTGGACAAACCCGCGCCCCAAAAACGAATATGTGGGTTTGTTTGTTTAAGCATTATCAAAGATTTCATTCGTTTGTCATTCAAATTTGAGAAGTTAATGCTAATACCCATGTGGTGGTTTCTACGAAAAAAAATTCGATTTGGTGGCGCCCTGGCAGGGTTCCATTTAGCTCCCCGGGTTTTCCCGTGAGTACTATGGTACCTTTGTTCGTTTTAATAATTGCGAAACGCTATGAATATGATGGGCTACTATAATCGCTCACTATACCGAGTGAGGCGCCTTCCTACCTACGCCCACCTACCTACATACCTAACTCCCTGCCTACGTACCTACCTATCCACTAACCTGCCTGCGCTGCTGCCTGCCTACCTACTTTCCTACCTACCGTTATTCCTGCCCAACTGCTTTCCTTCCACCCCGCCTGTCTACACACCTCACATCCTACTTACACACACACATATCTTCGTATGTATATATGTATGTGTTAGTGTGCTCTAGGACTATGTATTTTTACATTTTTGTTGTTACGTAGAACTATTCAGTATAAAGGAGTTTCCTTTTTTTTTTGACGTTGTAACTTTCTAATATTGTAATATTCTTTTTTGTATGTGTGCATAAAATAGTGTAGGTTTATTAACAAAAGTAAATTTTAGTATGTATTTAAGTGTATATAATCATTTTCGTCAAGCCAATGTGTTCATAATCTTAAATTTAAAAACCCATGAAACTCGATAGCCAAAGATTTAGAATGAGAATAATTGCTATTTAACCAGTAACACCTATTCTAATTATTGTAATAATATTTTTTTAAAATATATATACACAAAGATAGATTGTTTTCTTATATAATTTATTTAAAAAGTCAACTGTATTTCATAACGAAAATTAACACAAAATACATTCGAATAGAAACTGTCAAGGGAGACTACTCTAATATTTGTAGGAATAATAGTTTTTATTTAGAGTTTTTTTTTATTATTAGAAGAAAAGTTAATCATGTAGGTTCTATAAAAGATTACCTTGCATTTAAAAAAAAAAGATATTCGATAGGTTTAGAATGAGAAATAGTCAAAATTATTTATTATATTCATTAGTTGTTTTTTTTAATAATATAGTACAAAGACCTGTTTTAATTATTTTTTTTAAAATCTTATTTTAATTAATAAATTATAAATGAAGATCGAGGATCTATATTTTTAAAAAAATAGTTTAACTGTCCCTAAACAATTGTATCAATCGCTGAGAAATTAAGAATTAATAATTACGTTTAACGCTTTATTAATTAAACGAGTTGAATTATTTCCGTTTTGATAAACTCTCTCTCTCTTTATAACTACTAACGCTTTATCATTGAGTTTCTTAAGAGAAAAATACAGGAGAGCGGTAGTTATCATTGACTCTGTCATTGATAATTTCATTGAGTCTTTCATAGAAAATAGTGTTTGATCGGCTGGTGTGTGAGAGAGAGAGAGAGAGGCATAAATATGAATAAATAAATCCAACCCCATTGATTGTCGGTAGGTATAGATTGTAGCCATATCAACAACTGTACTCATAATTGCTGATTATAAATTGCAAACAATAAGAAGTAAAAACTAACCCCTTGCAGCATTTCAAAGTGTGCCTCTACCGTGATCTGAGCACTTTGTTTTCCAACGAAAGTATTGGCGTTCTTGAATAACTCGACGTCGATGCCAGACTTCCAGTTTGTCTGACTGAACTGCGATGTACAGCTGTCTTTTACCAGGAGCGCTGGAGTTAGGCCATTGGTTGCGGTCGATTCAGGTGACGAGGACATTGTACTGTACACATGGAAGTAACAGGAATTAATTAATATGTAATGTATAGGGATATTAAATTGGGTGCATGTGTATGTGCGTAAAGATTTAGTACTAAGACAATTTGTAAGTGTGGCTCATACAAATTATTCACTGCCAAAATTATTCAAGCCGATAAGAGAGGCACAGCCTTGTTGTATATAATCACAATATGGACATCAATTAGAAAATTAGGATATTTCTAGCAGTGGCGGAACTAGAAAAAAAAGGTCCGCCCCGCAAATTATTTTTTGGGCCCCCATATATCAGAGGCGTAGCGACCCTTCCCAAACTGTCGAATTGCACCCCCCCTCGCTACGCTACGCCTCTGCCATATATATATATATATATATATATATATATATATATATATATATATATATATATATATATATATATATATATATATATATATATATATATAAATTAAGGTCGGCTGTGGGCCCCTAAACTGCCTGCCCCCCCCCCCCCCCCCCCCCGCATTGCGGGGTCTGGTGGCACTGTAGTTCCGCCACTGATTTCTAATTTCTGCTTTGCAATTGATGAAAAAGATAGGCCCACATATAATTATGCTAGACACTAGAAAAACCAACTTATATTTAGAACTAGATCTATCACAATTGAAAAGGTTACTACTTTAATGAAAACAAATTGAAAATAAAACAGTTTGGCTATCGGTAACATAGTTTGTAGTCATTGTAATTTACTATTCATTGTCGTACAAGGGGTTAGACTATAAAGAGACTATTTCGATAGTGTATCTTTGAAGTTACAATATTAACCTTTTTCTTCTGTCGTATATATTTTATTGTTTTTCACTTGATGACAAAAGTCAGAAACGAATATATAAGGCAACCCGAAATTAAAAAGGATAGGTGCCTGTCATAGCGTAGATATATAGAATTGGACTAGACTAGTAGATGCTACTGAGGACAGTATAAACTTGACTGTAGACGATTTGGTGCGAGAGCATTGTGCGCGTCTTCAGTAAAATATTTGTGGCGTGAGTGTGACGTCAGCATGACGTGACAATGTACCGATGACGCAGCAGTGAAGTTAATTGGAGGGGGGGGGGGGGGGTTAGATATAGTTTCCTGTTGTGTAATAGATTCTAGATCTATAAGTGTGTGATAATAAAGTTAATGCTATTTCATGAACGAAGTTATTAGTATCCTTGATTATTGTCTGCGGAGAATAAGAGTGTTCCCGTCCTCCTTCACAAGTTTAATAGTTGCAGTGTCTCAGAATATAGCATATATATATATATATATATATATATATATATATATATATATATATATATATATATATATATATATATATAAATCCCCCATCACAGTGCTCCTTAGGCGATGAGGATTATCACCCCCGATTTCCTCCCGTCAGCTTTTGCAAAACAGTTATATAGATAATGTATCTCCCCTTGGGATTAGAGGTCTAATACAAGAGCAACATCTTGCTCTTCACAATTAGCTGCCCAAATTTTTCCTTTATAAATGGGCCAAACTTCCCTCTTTCTAGTTCCTTCGAAGACAACAGGTTTAAAAGATTTGAAGCTACAGGCACATTTTGAGAGGTAGAGATCTTTATGTGCAAAAAAAAGAGTCATCATATAATATAATGGTCAAGTTTTCCAAGCAGTATAATAGATAATGTTTAACTAGTGTCCTAAAGTAAGAAATAATTTTAAAATTATGCTTTTGTATGCATCAATTTTTAAACATCCTTGCTATCATTTACCGGCAAGGCATGAGGTTGTTTCTGAACTTGATGGTTGCAGTGACTGGGCATGTGGTGCCGTTGTTGATGCAATAAAACTCTTGCGGGCCTAATAGAGCCATCGTCAAATTGGCCCCTGAATCCATCACATTAGCACTTTTCTCTGGGCACTGACGACATATAATTTATGTTTTAGCGAGAAGTTAAATTAGGGAAGTGTTCATAGTACGTAACACAAAGAGAGGGGTACATTATTTATTTTCTAGTCACATCATGTTGATGGTGTAGAATTGTTATAGAGCAACTTTATTTCAAATGCATTTGATTTAAAAAAAAAATATCTCCATGCAGTGTTTATGCTGCTTGGTTGAATAAATACATTTATTAAAAGAGGATACGCTCCGCCTCATTGCATTGTCATCATAGTAAAAAAAAACAAGACCCCCCCCCCCCTCCCCCAAAAAATTGACGTCACGCTTCAGTACAACCCCCTTTTAAACTCATTTTATCTAAATTAAATTTTTTCCTCCCTCTTATACGAAGAATAGAGGAAGTATTGTAAAATTGAAGTCGCGATTTTCACAAATCTTGACGTTTTACACCTCCTGAGTCGGAAAAACACAGTTTTGCAATCAGAGTTTCTTCCAGGCATCGCCCCCCCCCCCCCCCTAAAATTTTTTACCGCCCCCCCCCCCGAACGAAATGAAATTTATATATTTTATATAGAAAATATATAGTTTTAACAGTGTCCGCCCCCCCCCCCCCCCGAAGAAAGTTTACCGCCCCCCCCCCCCCCCGAAAATTTCAAGTGCCCCCCCCCCCCCCCCCGGAGAAAAAAGTCTGGAAGAAACACTGTTTGCAATTTTGTCCGTATGTCTGTGTACTTCTAAATACCGTTTCAATTATGTATAAGAAATTTCATATTATATCACATTTGTAATTCTGTATCAGCTTTTGAACGATGTTTGGTAACCGGAAGTGGTAATTACTCTACTTCAGTTTATGAAAAGCCAATAACCTGATACCGTTTAAAGTAGGGGAACGAAATTTCACATACATTTTCTTTTTTTTGTAATACACAATGTTACAACAGTTTCGAATATAGGCTACATGTAAAAAGGAATTCAGTCTTTTTAATAAATTTACTTGTATCAGGATTTTAGAATATAAAAAAACAATAAAATTATCTCTTTTGATTTCAGTACTAAATTAAACGTATAAAGTAAATCAATGACATTCCCTACTGAAAAGGGGCCCGTTTATGCATTACCATATGTGGTAGAAGGTTTGAGGTTGATTGTTAAGAGAAATTTTGTTTTACTCTAAAAATCTAAATTGTTACTGATAGTAAAATATGGCAGGCGTACAGATTAAACGGAAGCCTATCTGAGAGGAAAATTTTATTTAAATTACTTACAACATATCCCATTTCGAGAGTGTTTTCACTTCTAACTTCTTTACAACTCACACCCGTTGATGCGTCTGTGTACTGGTAGGAGCAGTACAGCTGCGTTTAAAAAAAAGTGGCTATTATTCGATGTTGATATGTAATGACATGTAAATATATGTAATGATATGTAAATATGTAATGATATGTAAATAATATGAATCACGAATTGTTCTGGACTGATTGATCAGATCCAGAGGCGTAGCGACCCTTCCCGGGGACAAACTTTCAATTTTCGATTTGCACCTCCCTGACACTTTCGATTTGCATCTCTTAAAACACTATTTAACACTCGAATTAATCACTTAATTAAGTGGAATTATCATTTTTCTGTATATATTTTGCTCTTTTTTTGCCTTGGTGTCACCCCCCCCCACTAAATGGTGTCACCCGGTGCGGTCCGCACCCCCCGCGCTACGCATCTGGTGTATGTTAATCCCCACCTCATCGTAACAGTGGGTTAGAACACACTTTGGTGACCGTTTAGGTGTCAAGGCGATGCTAGCGTACTTGGCCTTGTTAGGTATAATCATCGAATGTCGATTGCCACAGTGTCACTATTATAGGGTGCTCTTTAAAAACGGATGTAGGGCGCCATAGTGCTCAAGGGCGAAACCCAGGGTACGGCAGATCACCCGAGGTGCATGCAGACTGTCCTGATTCGATTAAGTTAACGATCATATTAGCACGTCGTATCGGTTTTTTTTTACAATCTTTTAATCGATTTTAGGGGCCTTAAGTAACTATCGATATATATAATTCTCTTCTGGGAGACGCTAGAAAACAAGCTGTATACGCGCTCCCTACCACCCCCACCCCTACATGGTCTGGTGAGCTGTGGTTCACTCTAAATGTTTACAAACAGAGCCGGGTTTAGTGACGACTATTAGGGGCAGATAATTTAGTTTGAAACTATTTTAAACGTAGGGGGGGGTAACTAAGTGGAGTTTACTTTAACGGAGGGGGGGGGGGGGAAAGGAGAGGGGGGTTATCGTCCCTTAACGAGCTACTTATAGTGTTTTAAAGAAATATTTTCTGTGGCAGCGTTGGTAGTGTCGAATTCACAAATTATGAATAACTGAAAAGTAGAAACAACTAAATAGCGGCGTATGATATGCCGCGGGTCGGCTCGTTTATTTATAAAATGACAAAAAAACAAAGGGAAACAGCAAAGTTAATATTGTGTGCAAAATAGTCTAAGCATGTTTAACTGTTCTTCAATAATTTCCCTTATAATTAATATGCAGCCATTGGTGTATTCATTGTATAATTAAAACAAAACTGGAAAGCAAAGCTTACGTGCTTTCCTGCTAGTCCTTCTTTCAGATCTTCAGGTTTGAAGTAATGTGAATCGGTGTGAGTGTCGAATTTCTTTTCACTCAACACTTCTGAACTATTCACTGCATACAGTCGATAAGTGTGGCGAACAGTACTCACAAGCTTTGGCTTCAATATTTCACATTTAATAACGTAGTTTTCATCGTAAGTTTTTTCGAATCTTATGTTTGTTGTTTTGTTCAGGCAGCGTTCTTGGGTTTGTGCTGTGGAATAAAAACAGGTGGTTCGCACTAATGACAATGATTACGTACTCAACGCTGTTTATTTATCGACAATATCACAAAAAAAACCCAGAACCTGGCTTAAACCCAAACCCTAAAAACGACGCCAAGTCTAGCTCAGGCTCTACCCAGCCTATTCGTGCCGCCGGTGTGATAAAACAAGGGTATGAGATACGGATAAGGGAGAAAAAAACTGTGCTGTTTTTCAAATTTTTACCTTAATTGTTTTCTAGCCCTTACCAAGGCACTAATAATCGCGATTTTTAAACCAGCTAGTTGTCAGTGTTTCTTCCAGACTTTTTTTTCTCGGGGGTGCACTTGAAATTTTCGGGGGGTGGGGCGGACTAAAAAAATTTTGGGGGGGGGGGGGGCGGACACTGTTAAAAGATTATATTTTCTATATAAATTCCATTTCGATCGGGGGGGAGGGGGGGGGGGGAAGACTTTTTTTCGGGGGGGGGGGGGGGGGCGAGCTCCCCCGAATAGACGCCTGAAAGAAACTCTGCTAATGGCGTTTGTAAAGTGAGTTAATAAAATTATAAGTAAGACAGCAAACCCAAGCCAGCAGTGGTGAAAAGGCTAAAAAAGCCAATCGCAAGGAAAACACTGAAGTCCATTTCGGTGTTTTCAGTTTGTTTAAGTCTGATCTCTGCGATATCAGCTGTGGAAGCGTGGAAGACTACTGAAGGGTGCAAGGTTAGCTATCGGAGTGTGGACGACTGTTGGAACGTAAAGGACTGGAAAAGTCTGGGGAAAAAGACATTCGTTGATTAGTCAAACACACATTTTGTGACCGTCCCAGACCTTAACTCCTTGAGTTATAACTATTAGCCAAGTATTACATCTTTAGACTCGGAAATAAGGAAGTTGGTACTCATCACCCGCCCATGCCCTTAATTAGTCACATACAATCTGGGGATAATTTAATCTAGAGCCGAAATAGTGAGGTGAAGGTGAAAGTCGATGTCGATTTCGGAAATTTAGTTTTTTACTTTTTATTTTCAGAAATATATTTTCAGTAAATTTATAAATCTATACAAATGTATATATTTGTAAATTTATAAATATATATTTATAAAAAATATGAAAATTCAAATATGCATATTGTATATAAACAGAAGCTAACTAATCGGGTTGATATCAAATGCCTCATAGTAATTTGAAGTGCTTTGAAAACGCATTTTGTATAAACCTATATATTAATCATGGATTATTGGTAAGCTTTCTAAACCAATTTTCCAAGGAAACAGCTTCAGTACATAGACGATTGTTTTAAAAAATAATAATCAAAAATTCAAAAATGAAGGAATTATGGCGCGCGCGCGCCCACACACACATACACACACACACTTACACCTACACCCCACACACACACACAAACACACACACACAAACACACAACACACAATACAAACCACAAACCACAAACCACACACCACACACCACACAACACACACACACAACACACACAACACAACACACACACACCACACAGCACACAACAAACAACACACAACACACAAAACACAACACACACACACAACCACACACACAACACACACACAACACACACACAACACACACACTACACAACACACAACACACAACACAAAACACACACAACACCTAACACACAACACACACACAACACCCCAACACACACCACACACACAACAACACACACATAACACACACAGGCAACATAAAAATTTCAGAACGAAGTAGTAAATGGCAAAAGGCTTATAAAAATTTGACATGTCAGACAAGTGAGTGGAAACCCCAGGAGAGTTAAAGAGAAATAAATATCGCGGATTCTTCAGACGCGGTCTGATCCGTAGAATAGATACATCGGAAAGGCGATACACTTTTGCCGAAATTTTAAGAGCGAAGAAAAATATAACAAGGTGTTTCTACATGTAAAATCACATAATAAACCTGTGTGTCTTGACCTCCGCCAAACCCCTGAGGCTCTCACCGAACCCCTGAGGTTGACTCATCGTACCCCTGATGCTGACTCACCGAACCCCTGATGCTGACTCACCAAACCCCTGAGGCTCTCACCGAACCCCCTGAGGTTGACTCATCGTACCCCTGATGCTGACTCACCGAACCCCTGATGCTGACTCACCAAACCCCTGAGGCTCTCACCGAACCCCTGAGGTTGACTCACCGAACCCCTGATGCTGACTCACCAAACCCCTGAGGCTCTCACCGAACCCCTGAGGTTGACTCACCGAACCCCTGAGGTTGACTCATCGTACCCCTGATGCTGACTCACCGAACCCCTGATGCTGACTCACCAAACCCCTGAGGCTCTCACCGAACCCCCTGAGGTTGACTCACCGAACCCCCTGATGCTGACTCACCAAACCCTGATGCTGACTCACCAAACCCTGATGCTGACTCACCGAACCCCTCAGGCTCACCAAACCCCTGAGGCTGACTCACCGTACCTCTGATGCTGACTCACCAAACCCCTGAGGCTGACTCACCAAACCCCTGAGGCTGACTCACCGTACCCCTGATGCTGACTCACCAAACCCCTGAGGCTGACTCACCAAACCCCTGATGCTGACTCACCGTACCCAAGTTAAGAATCCGGGATGTATAGGATTACAGTAAAATACTCCGTCTTATAATCAGATAAAAAAAAATATATGTCGTAAGGCTCCATAAGGAGTAAAGAAGACACATTCTTAAACTGTTGTTTCTAGTATATTAACTATAAGGATGTGTTAAACTTTACTAGTTATTTACATGAACAAAATAACACTTTACATGTTTTACTGTCAAAAGAACATGTTTTACTATGAAAAGAACATGTCTTACTGTCATGAGAACATGTCTTACTGTTATGAGAACATGTTTTACTGTCAAACGAACTTGTCTTACTGTCATGAGAACATGTCTTACTGTCAAGAGACGAGATTTATTGTCAAAAGAAAATGTCTAACTGTCAAGAGAATATGTCATACAGTCATGAGAACATGTCTTACTGTCATTAGAACATGTCTCACTGTCAAGACAACATGTCTTACTGTAAATGGAACATCTTTTACTGTCATTAGAACATGTCTTACTGTCAAAAGAACATGTCATACAGTCATGAGAACATGTCTTACTGTCATTAGAACATGTCTCACTGTCAAGACAACATGTCTTACTGTAAATGGAACATGTTTTACTGTCATTAGAACATGTCTTACTGTCAATAGAACATGTCTTACTGTCAAGAGAACATGTCTTACAGTCATTAGAACATGTCTTACCGTCAAAAGAACATGATATACTGTCATGAGAACATGTGTCACTGTCCTTAGAACATGTCTTACTTTCAAGAGAACATGTCTTACTGTCATGAGAATATGTCTTACTGTCATTAGAACATGTCTTATTGTCAATAGAACACGATTTACTGTCATGAGAACATGTCTTATGGTAAGGAGAACATGTCAGAAATGATGTCTCGCAGTCGCAAAGTTTATAGACCATTCATTCAAGATAAGACACAAGCAACAATGATGTGGGGCGATGTCTTCACCCAAACATGTCACTAATGTTAGCGATGACGGGTCACGGGGCAGCAACCTGCAGGTCATACTGTCATGAGAACATGTCTTATGGTAAGGAGAACATGTCAGAAATGATGTCTCGCAGTCGCAAAGTTTATAGACCATTCATTCCTGATAAGACACAAGCAACAATGATGTGGGGCGATGTCTTCACCCAAACATGTCACTAATGTTAGCGATGACGGGTCACGGGGCAGCAACCTGCAGGTCATATAGGTCACCCGATCACGTGATCACACAACCTCGAACTGTCGTCTTAATTAATGGTCTCTCGCGCGACGGTAATTATTTAACAATCAGCAATGCGGTCCAAACTGGATATGTTTTGTGGAGTGACACCATACCCAATCACGTATTAGCTGTCGGTGGTTCCCAAAAGGCGGTCACCGAGTGACACCATCTACGGGTGGGGAGAACGTGATTTTTGTTTTCTTTTTACTGAAACACCAATGAACTGTACAGTTGCCTAGATGAAATATACTATTCTTCAGTGGTGCGTTCTTCGGTGCTGTCATAGTGCCATCCTTCAGTTGTTTCCCTTCCATAACAAAATTAAGGCTTTCGGCTAATCGACAATATAGTGAAACACATGACCAGGGTAAAAAAAAAAACTGTCTTTCAGACATTTTTCTCCAGGAGGGGAAACGCACATGAAACGTTCGGGTGGGGTAGGGGAGGGGGTAGGTAAAGTTACCATCAAACCTTACGGTCTATAGAACACTTAAATTTCCTAAATAAGGGGACACACTGGTTAAAGTGTTTATGTTCTATTTAATTATCTATATATATAATTCTCTTCTGGGAGCCGTTAGAAAACAAGCTGCAAGCGCCTCCTTGCAGTCCCCTCTCTTTCTTTCTATCACTATCACTACCACCCCCACTCCTACATTGTGGTCACGCTAAATGTTTACAAAGCTAAATGGTAACTAAGAGGAGGCTGCTTTCACGGGGGGGGGGGGTGTATGGTCGGGGTTAGGGGAAAGGGGGGGGTGGTTAGTGTTTTAAAGCAAATATATTTTCAGTGGCAGCATTGGTACTGTCGAATTCACAAATTATGAATTACTGAAAAGTAGAAAATAAAACAACTAAACAGCGGCGTATGATACGCCGCGGGTCGGCTCGTTTTCTTTTTTTTTTCGGAAGAAAAGGATGGGGGATGCTCAAGTTTCGTTAAAAAAACTCACGTCAAGAATTTCCACCTCTCCATTACATTTCTTATGCCCACTTCATTGCCAGTATTTCCTCCATGATTTCATCGTGTAGACTAGGCTGCTGCTGCTAAGATTACGGTAGCCGAAACAGTTGTAGCTGGAAAATTTCAACGAAAAACCCGAAAAGTCACGGTTAACTGGTGTCATCGAAACAAAACATATGTCAAATAATCTCTAGGTATAATTCT